CCAGGCTGCAATCCCTATAAATCACCATCCAGAGCCTCTGGCAATCCAGGCCGGCTGCTGCCACTGCTGTGGGTGGCATCAGAGTGTGTGGGATAGTGACAACCAGCTCAGAGGGAGCCGTGGCCCTTCTCCGAGGTGGCATCTGCTGACAGCGCTTCTCCCACCCTCCAGAAAGCGGGAGCAGCTCCCCGTGGTTCCTCACCTCTTCTGCCTCTCCATCCCTGCTCCAGCCCTTCCCTCTTCCCAAAAAAAGGGCAGCCAAGCCGTGAGCTTTCCCCCCTGGAAAAGGCAAGGTTGCATTTCGCGGGCACAGTTGGCACCGCGCGGCAAAAATGGGAAAGTCGGTGGAGAGAGGGGGATAAATGAGATGCAGGCACCTCTCCTGGCAGCAGGGGTGTGCTTATTCCCTGGGATTGGAGTGGAAGGGGGATAAAGGTCAGCCTTTGAGAAGGAAGCCAGGCTGCTGCACGCCCAGAGCAAACAGGATCAGTGACTCGAGGGCTTAGTCAGCACCCGGGGCGTTGTTGTTGTTACTGCTCTGGAAATCCCACCTGGTTTTCCTGGTCCAGGAAACAAAGGGGAGGAGGAAGCTGAAGGTGCGCAGCCTGTGGGCAGAGGGTTTGGTGAAGGCAGGAGGGAGAGCAGGAGGAGAGTGTGGGGGCAACCCCAGGACTCCAGCCCACATTCCAAAAGAAGGAGAAAAAATTCCAGAGAAGCTGCTTGAGGTCCCTGCAGGAGGCTGGTCAGGAGATGTTGAAAATGGATGAAAAGCACGAAATGAGAACCCAAAATAAACACGACCTGCAAGAGATCGTTTGGGTTAAAAAACACCCAACAAACAAACAAACAAAAACCAAAAAGGAAAGAAATTCTGATAACTGTGATTCGGGACATCTGGTTCCGAATTTGGGAAGGTCCCAGGTGATGCAAGTAATTTGTAGACAGTGACGATGACTTTTCCTATCAGCAGTGACGAAACAACTGAGCAGTCACAGACAGAGGCAGATCGTTTAGCCAGCAGGGAACCTGCACAAGAGGCTATGGAAAGGCTCTTCCAGCTTCCTGACCTGTTACATTGACTTTTTTTTAAGAAGTTTTGGAACACTAAGGTAGTTCTGGAAGCCTGGAAAACACTGAGAGGTCAGTAATTAAAAGGGAGAGTTTTTAAAGCACTATCAGGCTGTTGTCAATCCCACTAAACCCAATTACATGGAACTTCATTAGTAGGAAATTAAGGGAAAAAAAAAGAGTTAACGTCAGCCAGATGGGCTTAAGGAAAATAGGATCTGTCAGGCAAACTCTGTGTCATTTTTCAAGGAGATTATGAGCTGGGAACAGGCATCTTTGATGCATTTGTGTTGGTCCTGCATGATGATTTGATTAATAAATCAGAACAATACACATTCAGCTTGTTTGTGTCAGTGACTGGTAAGAATAAATAAACTTCTTGCGGACAGGCTTTCAAATGGTACAAAGTTTGCGTGGCAGCAAATAACAAGGACAAATCCCAGGCTGCTGCCGAAGGCAGATGCAAGCCATGAATATTCATGTGAAGGTGACCAAACCCCACGTGTCCAGGGACAAAGAATGGAGCTTTTCTTACAGAACGGAAAATTTTATCCCCGGTGGCAGCGACGGGAATTGAAGGTGAGGGTGGGGAATCAGCTGAACATCAGGCTCAGGGTGACCCTGGGGCCAGCGGGGCTCGAATTGGTGCTCACACAACAGGGAGGAGGAGCAGATGGGTGATTATCACCTTGTGCTTTGTTTGGCTGAGTTACTTGATTTCTGCTCCTTGATAACAACATCCCGGGCTGATCCCCCAGCGTGGGCAGCAGGACAGGGGGGGATTCTGCCCCTCTGCCCCCTCCGTGAGACCCTCCTGCAGAGCTGCCCCAGCCCTGGCAACAACAGCACAAGGACGTGGAGCTGCTGCAGAGAGTCCAGAGGAGGCCCCGGAGATGCTGCCAGGGCTGGAGCCCCTCTGCTCTGGAGCCAGGCTGGGAGAGCTGGGGGGGTTCCCCTGGAGAAGAGAAGGCTCCAGGGAGAGCTGAGAGCCCCTGGCAGGGCCTAAAGGGGCTTATAAAAAAAAGGGAGAGTGACTTTTTTTACACAAGCAGATAGTGATGGGACAAAGGGGAATGATTTTAAACTAAAAGGAGAGATTCAGATTAGAGGTTAAAAAGAAATTCTTTACTGGGAGGGTGGGCAGGCCCTGGCCCAGGTTGGGCAGAGAAGCTGTGGCTGCCCCTGGATCCCTGGAAGTGTCCAAGGCCAGGTTAGAGCAACCTGGGCTGGTGGAAGGTGTCCCTGCCCGTGGCAGGGGGTGGAATGAGATGATCTTTAATGTCCCTTCCAAGCCAAACCATCCAGTGATTCCATGATCGACTATAAATTCCCCCCTCTCTGCTCAACCCCCTTGTATCATAACCCAGTGGACTGAGCAGCATCCTCACCCCAGAGAAAACCAGACCTCGTTTCAGAGGTCTTTATTTGTGGTAACACCGTTCCCTGATGGAGCACTCAGGATTGACCCTGGCATTGGTGTCATCCACAGCAGTTCTCATCCTGTAATTAAACCCATTAAGGCTCGTTGCCAGCCCCTCACTCTTGGACCACTGGTGTTTAATCCTGTTTAACAGTCTCAGCTGAGACAGAGCAATGGTTACCGCTGACTTCAGGAATATCGGCTCAGTCCCCTGCAGCACCGGCCCCACTAATTTGAAGGATAACAATAATCCTCTTAGCTGTGAACAGTGGTGGATGGTGGGATCCCCAGATTCTGCACCGGAGCTGGGTTTGTATCATGCACCGAGCATTCCCAGAGCCACGGGCAGCTCATCCCAGCGGTCTGAACCCCAGAGCAGTTTAAATCAGCCATGATCTGCTCCTCAGCAGCCATCAGGGGGACGCCTCAAGGGATTGCCCCTGTTTTGCCATGAGGGATTGCTGGGAGCTCCAGCCTTCTCCGGGGATGTCCCAGCTCACACCTCTCTGCACAGCAACCGGAGAAGGCTGTGCTGTGCTTCCCCACGATCCAACTGCTGATCCATCCCCCGGGTCGGGATTCCCCTGCTATTCCCATCCCCTTTCCTTCTCCTGCTGTCGTGTGTCTTTGCCTCTCTTGGTCCTCGGAAAGCTCCTACCAGATCTCCATGGCGACAGCCATCGGATTTCCTCGTGGTGTCAACACATCCAGAGCGACATCCAGCTGGTCTCGCACGGCACCGGGTTTGGGAATCGCAGGCACGATGGGCAGGAGCTGGGGAATTCCATGTGGGCTAAACTGCAGCACAAGTCTGATGAGGAGCAGCTGAGGGAGCTGGGGGGGCTCAGCCTGGAGAAAAGGAGGCTCAGGGGGGACCTTCTGGCTCTGCAACTCCCTGACAGGAGGGGGGAGCTGGGGGGGGTCAGGCTCTGCTCCCAGGGAACAGGGACAGGAGGAGAGGGAACGGCCTCCAGCTGTGCCAGGGGAGGGGCAGGTTGGATATTGGGGAAAACATCATCACCCAAAGGGCTGTCCAGCCCTGGCACAGCTGCCCAGCACAGTGGTGGAGTCCCCATCCCTGGAGGGATTTAAAATCCCTGTGGATGTGGTACTTGGGGACATGGGGCACTGGTGGCCTCGGAAGTGCTTGGGGGAAAGCTTGATGATCTGACAGGTCTTTTCCCACTTTAACAGTTCTTAACGATTCTAAGTTTTCACCAAGCTCTCCTGGCCACTCCTGTGTTGTTCCAGTCACGGTGCTCCATTTAGGGAAGTTATTTTACCCCTTTCTCATTTAATTAAGTGATAATACAGGTGTCTCTGCCCTTGTCAGGGAGGTTGGAACGAGATAATCTTTAAGGTTCCTTCCAGCCCAAACCATTCCATAATTCCATGTTATTCAGACCAGCACTGATCAAATGCAGAAACCCACGGTGGCAACCACAGCCTGGCCTTGATCCTGCTCTTCATCCCACCGTGCCCCCGGCAGAGTGTGGGATTCCCGTGCAAGGACAGCTCTGCTGTACCTGATAACGCGGTTGGGAACGGGACCTTCCAGCGCCGTTTTCACGGCACAAACTGACAACAACCACCACCAGCTGAGAGGGGCAGCCTTGAACGGTGAGGAGACCTTGATATCCCAGGATGTTTCTGCAGGATAACGGTGTTTTTCAGGGGAAGCTCTGCTGTGTCCTTGGGTCACACAGCTCGGGGGGGATGCAGAGCAGCTCGGCAGCGGGTGGGATGGTTCAGCATCAAGCTCAAAGGTGGTTTGGTGTCAGCAGGAGCTTCCTTTGGGAGCACAGTCAGTGGCACCTTTTTAAGGTGGGAGTGATATAATTTACAGGGCTGAGGGACAGGATGGGTGTCACCACCACGGGGCTGTGTCCCCCCAAGAGGGAGGGGATCATGGGGTCCCTTCCATGGTGCTGTATCCCCCCGAAAGGGAGGGGATCACGAGGTTCCTTTCATGGGACTGTGTGCCCTGATGATGGATGTCATGACCACGGGGCTGTGTCCCCCCAAGAAGGAGGGGATCATGAAGTCCCTTTCATGGGGCTGAGTCTCCCCAGAGGGAGGGGATCATGAAGTCCCTTCCATGGGGCTGTATCCCCCCTAGAGGGAGGGGATCACGGGGTCCCTCCCATGGGACCGTGTGCCCTGATGATGGATGTCATGACCACGGGGCTGCGTCTCCCCAGGAAGGAGGGAATCACGGGATCCCTTCCACGGGACCGTGTCCCCCCGGTGATGGACGCGTGTCACCACCGTGTCGCGGGGCTGCGACTCATCGTGGGGCGTTCTGACGCCGCCCCGGCAGCGCTGCCCGCTCGGCGGTACCACCGCCGCCTCTCCCCTTTCCCCGCTGCCTCCCGGGCGCTTCCCCCTCCCGCGCATCCCGCCTCCCTCCCTCCTCCCGCTGCCCCGGAGCGCCGGCGCGGCCCGGCCCCGCTGTCCCGCACTACATTTCCCGGCGTGCCGGGCGCGGCGGGGCCGGAGCGGGGCTGGGGCTGGAGCGGCCCCGGCGCTGCCGCCGCCCGGAGCGGGGAGGGCCGGGCCGGGCCGGGCAGGTGGAGCGGCCCCGATGGAGCGGGGGAAGATGGCGGAGCTGGAGAGCCTGGAGACGGCGGCGGAGCACGAGCGGATCCTGCGGGAGATCGAGAGCACGGACACGGCCTGCATCGGCCCCACGCTCAGGTGCGAGAACCCTGCCCGGGATGCCGCGGGGGGGGGGACACCCGCGGACGGGGGATGGGGATGGGGATGGGGGGGGTGGGTCACAGCGGTCCCCACGGTGCCCCCCGAGCCCCTCCGGGGCGCGTCCCACCCCTGCGCCCCTCGGGCAAGGACGGGCTTCCTGCGGGCATCTGTCAGAGCCATCCCGCGGGGGGTTTTACATCCCTCTCGGTCGGTTTCCGTGGGGTTTCGCCCGAGCCGCGGCCGATCGTGGGCGCCGCGGGGGGACGGGGCGCGATCACCGTCCCGGCCGAGATAGGAGTTGATGCCTCTTGTTTGCTTAATGGATCCTTTGTTCTCCTGTTAAGCACCTTCTCTCTCCCCCGGCGGTTCTCGCAGAATCCTTGGGCTGGGAGAGCCCGTGGCTTCGCCTGCGGGAGATGCGGAGCTCTCCCGGTGCTCGGGGAGCGCAGATGGATGGAGAGGACGGACTCGTGCCCAGGAGTGCTGCCCACTCCCTTTGCCAGCAGCTCCTTCCCATCGCTCCGGCTCTGGCGTTTCACCCCTCTAGGTGTTTGTTTGTGGTGCAGGGTCTGTTTTGTGCCAGTGGCTTGTGCTGTGTTGCAAATCTAAAAGATGTGGTAGCTGGCTGTGTGATTAACCCATCACTCGATTTCTTAAAAAATACGATATTTTAAGTGAATTATGCAGATCTAAGACCAGTTCCTTTTAGCTGGACCACATTAGCATCGCTGTCCTGAAATGCTGAGATAACTCGTCCCTCCTTCCCCCTCTTGAAATGAACACAGAAGTTCTCCAGAGAACTTTCTATCAACCCCAAAATGTTTGCCGAGCACAGGTGCGCGTGTTTTATCCTCTGGAATATCGACGGTATAAAAGGATGGAGGGTATTTCTGGCTCGTTGTAACCACGTTGCTCAGGTGGGGGAAGGTGGAGGAGGGGGGTGTTACTGGGATCGCTCAGCTGCAAATGGTTAAGCAATCGTGTTAAATTCGGTGCTAAGTGTGGTGCTTGCCCAGGAGAGGAACGAGGTGCTGCCCCGGGTTTCACCTTCCCCCCTCCAACCGCTCTGCGCCCACACAGGTGCTTTCAGTGTTGAAATCAGGGTGCCAGGTGGGAGTGTTTGGGGACAATCAGGATTGGAGCCGCCCGTCCCACCCCCTTCTGCCACGGCCCTTTGTTTCTTTAAGTTTTACAAAGTCACGCTTTTTAAACGACTTGAGTGGCCGCCTTTCAAAAGAAATGGGTTTCAAGGCTGTGTGACTCGCAGTGATGCTGCAGTGCTGGCACAGGATGAAGATGGGAAAGCTTTTTTAATTTGTGGAGCGGTGGAGCGCCGGATTTGCCTCAGACTTGCCCACTCCTTCATTTCTGTGACTTCTTGCAGTTTTCTTCCTGAAGTTCTCCGTGAAACGTTTCAAGGTAAACTGAACAGTAGGAGATGCTGAGAATTAGATTTATTAACAAAACTGAAAAAACTGGTTTGAATGTGTAGGAGCTGCCAGGATGAAGAGTGTAGGTGTGTTTTTTTTTTCCCCATTTAAGAGGACTAAGTGCAGTTGATCTTGTTTCTCAGTATTAAGGTTAGATGATGACTTGGTTTTAATGTTGATCTTTGCATACCCACGGGAGAAACATTAATAAGTGTCTGGGCAGAGAAAGGTTTGGGCTTTGCTTGCATTAACTTCTGGAGTGTGGTGATATTTCATTAGTAATGTTATTAATGATATAATCATAAGCTATACCTGCTCCAAGGATTTTTACAGTTCAAGCTTTACCAGCTCAGGGTAAACGAGATGTGCTGGAGAGTCTGGAAAAGAGGATGGTGGAAACTTTGAGGGGGGAAGAAAAAAAAAAAAAAGGTGACTCATTTCTTGTAGGCATCATGGAAGAAATGTGTCTCCAGGAGCCGGGCTGGCTTCCCTTCTAGGAACAGCATTCCCAAAGTGCAGCTCAGGGCTAAGGCTGCACTGCCGGGACTTGTTTGCAGAGCTGTGCTTTTATCACTTTCTGACCGGGCAGAGCGAGATATTCCGGGTGCAGCCGCTCCGTGGTGTCCCGGGTTGCCATCGCGGGGTGGGGGGGGGGGGGGGGGATATGGAGGGGTTAAGAGATGGAGTTGGAAGGTCCAACTAATTCATCTATCTGGGTGGGTTTGTGTCCCACCCAGCGGGGGAGAGAGTTTTGTGTTTAGAAAAATAGCAAGTGTAGTAACTCCTGCCCTGGGGCGGGGGAAGGATGAGATTCCTCCTTCCTTGAAGTCCCTTCCAGCCCTGTTTTTTGTGCTCAGTTCTGGCCGGGATTCTGCGAGTCGGTGGCATGGGCCGGGACTCCCATTGTGCCGGCGCTGTGCAGATGTGGGGCCGAGCCTGCCCCTCCTCGGGGACAGACGCTGCTTCCTAAAGAAATATATAAACTGCCCCGGCCCTGGAGTGTGTGTGTGATGAGCTGGGCCAGTCCCACCTCTGGCTCTGGGGCCATCCCGGTCTCTTCTCCCCAGTTTTTCCTGGCAGGGACTGTCGTGTTTGAAGGACACCGAGCGCCTTCAGTGAGTCTGTGGGGATCCCCTCGAGGCCGTGATGCTCCTGGAATCAAAATAATCCACTTCAGGATGTCTTTCCTGCTATTCAGCCTCTACTAATTATACCCATTGCTCCTAATTCCACTTCCTTCTGCTGTACTAATTCCTCTTTTTTCTTCCCTGCTGGTGTTACACTTGATTTTGCAGAGTATTTTTGGATCTCCTCTCTGTGTGGGTTTTGAAGAATCGCTTTATTCTGCAGGATCAGAAAGGGGAAGAGAAACCCTTTCTAGGTTAAAGCCACCTCTTGGCCAAGCTGTGACACCTGGGTGCTCTAATTTATATTACGCTCAGTTGAAGTTTATTGCTCTTTAGTGAATTTTGTGTCCATTTCAGCTGTGTTTCTTTGTTTGTTTTGGTTTTTGTTTATTTGTTTTTAATTTTTATTTTATTTTATTTTGGGTTTTTTTGAGTGATAGGAAACTGATGGTGGCCTGTAATATTCCAGCTCTGGTCACTGGGAGTGAGGATGGATAACGGGGAGGTTTTCTTGTGTCACACCCCGTAAATGTGGGCTCTATAACTTCACCCCCTTTCCCTGTGCTCAGCCAAGGGTGAGTCCTTGTGATTATCTGAATTGCAAATCGTTTTGCAGCAGTTCTTGGTCCCAGCCTGAGGATGTTTTGCTGTCCTTTCCTTCCCTGTGCTCATCTGCAGTGTCCTCTCACACCTGGTGTCACCTCATGCTTCAGATCCAGCCTGGGATTAAGTCACTGCTTAATCTTCCTTTTGGTTAAACAGTTTGAGCTCTGTGAGTCTGTCACTCTTGAAAAACCCTTTTCCTGCTCTCGGGCTGCATTTGCAGCTTTTTGAAGGATTTTTAAACAGCACTTGATAACGTTCAAGGAATTTTTAAACAGCATTTGATGAATTAAAGCAGCCCTGGCTGCCCACACAGGTGTAGCTGCGGTGTTCTTGCTGTCTCCTCGCCACTTTAGATGCACATAAAATTATATCACCGCTGTAAGAATCTCCCACTTGTGCCCTGGGAGGTTGGAGCAGGTCTTTTCCTCAGTGTTAGAGTTGTTCCTGCACGCAGAGTTATTTCCTTGGGAGCTCAGGTATCCCCAGCTGTGGCCGATGCTCCCCATCGCTACATCTGCACCTCCACTCTTGGTTCTCCTGCTCTGCAAAGTTGCTGGGGAGGATCGAGATTTTCCGAGGGATGGATTGTTCTCTTGCTTGATTTCACGGCTCGTTACTCTGCCAGCTTTTGTGTCATCTGCCAATCGTATCATCAGTCTTTTTGTTTCCTTTTGGATGTATATTTGGATGTATATATTTGCTTTCTAGGCCGTTCCTCAGCGCCTGAGGTTTTATCAGGCGTGTTGGGACTGGTACTTAGCAGTGCCCTGCTGGAAACCTGAGAGATGTTCTATCTCAGACAGCAATTAATCACCCAGTCTGGGCTTTTATGCAGAACTAGAGCAGATATGAAACTCCTATTAAATGTAATCATGTGTGTTCAGAGAGATTACAGGGCTGTTTAACCCGAGAACGGAGTGAAGCACTAGATTGGGTCGTGTTTCTACTAAGCGGCTCCTGACTGGGATTAAAGCAGGACTGTAATTAAGATGTGTTCCCTAAATCCTTGACTCTTCCATGCCAGTGTCTGGGATTAGTGTTGCTCTGGGTGTACCTGCCTGATCCATTTACTGCACTGGCACCGTGCCGTGGCCATTCCCTGCCATCTCCTCCCCGTGCCCAGGTTGGTCTGGAACTGAGGAGCCAAAGGTCCTCACTGCCTGTTGTTGTTTTTTTTTTTTTTTCTTTTTTTAGGGTTATGAATCTTGTGTCTTGAATGCTTGCAGGTCATGGAATCACAGAATGATTCGAGTTGGAAGGGAACCTAAAGCCCATCTCGTTCCAACCCCCTGCCATGGGCAGGGAAACCTTCACTGTCCCAGGTTGCTCCAAGCTGGCCTTGGACACTTCCAGGGATCCAGGGGCAGCCACAGCTTCTCTACCCAACCTGTGCCAGGGCCTGCCCACCCTCCCAGTAAAGAATTTTTTCCAAAATGTTCTCATTTCAAACCACTGGACATAAACAACCTCACTTCCCCCAGGGACATCACCTCAGGTCCTCGGTGGGACCCTCGGGCTCTGACTGTCTGTGTGCTGAGACCCCTGAGCTGGGTGGGAGCCAGAGGTGCTGATCCTGCTGGCATTGCTTGGTGCCACCTTGGATCCAGGCTGGAGCAACATGACAGTGCAAACAGCAGCAGCTTGGCTCAGGTCCTGGCTCCTGAGCTGGGACTGGGGAATGTTTATGATGGTTTATTTTCTCCTGTAGCTTCACATGGAGCTGAGCTGGATCTGTGACTGTTCCTGTGTCATTCGGGTTTCTGATGCTGAACTTGGAAAACTGAGGCTTGGCTCTTAGACATAAATTTAAGGATGGAGTCCAGCAAGTGGGGGG